CAGGAATTTGTCAATATCTACCTTTGTGAACACTGCTAAATACCTGATGCAAGAGACTTCTCACTCAGATGTTTCATCTATTTCTAATCCCATTTGTATAGCAATTGATTCCATACTGGAGTCATGATTGCTATTAACAAACAAAAGCATTATTAGTTTTACAACATACTTGAATTTGTACCTGGGAAATTGTTTTTTAAAGTTCTTTTCAGATACTTGCCTAGGAGATGTTGCTGGTGCAAAAGATCTGCTCCTGAAATGGTCCCAATGAGGTAGTCTTTTGGCTGGAGTCACCACGATGCATGCATAGGAATTGTGGAAAAGTTGTTGGTTTGCTTACCTTGGACAAACTGGCTTATACTCGCAAAAAAGTTATAAAACTAGATACCTCCTTAAAAATCATAAAAATCAAAGGGAACCCCTACAGTAGTCTGGTTTGTATTTTGCACTTTTGAAAATGCAGAATACTCAAAAATAAATTGGGCGTATAACATGGAGAACTAAGACTTTTAAACTATAACTCGTTAAATTTGAGATAGAAAACCACTTAAACTGTTGTCATTAATGAAGCTTTAAGAACTATTTGGTAACATATATTAAAAACTGTAATAGCGCATGGGTTTTTTGTGCTTTCTGGAAGATGAAATGCGACATGGAGAAGACTTGGTGTTGTAGGAAAAGAGTGGAGTTATATTTGCATGGACACAAGCTATTCTTGAAATTTTTATAAAAATTGTAGTGTCTAGACTGCTTCAAATGCAGGGAGTTTTTTAATTTCTTTCATGGCCAGTTGAGCAATATGTACATATAGGTAGAATATTGTTTATCTGTGAGCATTTGTCAGACTAATTCCTGGTTTATGTGGGACAAAAATCATGGCGACAGGGAGAAGCAGAATAAAATTCCAGGTGCTTAGAAGAATTTAATTTACTTCTTCCAAAATTTTTAAAGTTTTCTTTCATTGTTTGTTTTTAAGGATAATCTGATTTATACCATGTCCTTCTTTTAATTTCCTAAGAGTTTCTAAACTGATGTTGGAACTAAATGTTTGGTACTTACACATTTCCATGTTCACACACACACAAACACAAAAGCTCATTTGAGCAGTCACTTTCAATACTAAGTGTACAGATTTTGATTTATATACATTGACTTGCTTTCTTTTGATGTGAGATGCAGCTCCTGTTTTGAAATGCTGTTTTATCTTTGTTGATTAGCAATCGTTTACTGTAAGACAGAAACTTCATATTATACTCAGGGTTGAAGTGTGACTTTACTGCTTTTGGCAACACATCCCTGAAGAGTATTCGCTTTCCTGTAACAGTGTAGTTTGCACTGAAATGGAAGTTTCCCTGACTTTGTGTTTAAAATGAAATGTCTTGAATATGGTCATGGTACCACCACCTGTATTGACACTTCTAAGCCTTTTCCTCAAGGGGCCCAGTAAAGTGGAGCAGAGAGGGGCATTTCTCCTTTCCACCTTTCTCCTGATCTGAACATCCTCTGCCCGCAGGCCCTTTTCCAAAGCAGAAATGCTTTACTGGTGGTTCTGTTCCAGCTCTGAAGAGGGGTGTGCTGCCTCAGGGTAGCCAGAGGCCTGGGTAGATTGGGCAGCGCAGGGCAGTACACAGGGTTCGTATTGTGGCTATGAAGGTAATATCCATTCTTCATATTTGGTATTTGTAGTTCCGTATAATACAGTGGTATTGCTGTATCACCATTGGGAGCATTTCCTTGTATTTTGAAGTTCTTTTTTATATATTAGATATTTTCATATCAGTATTTAAAGAAGAACTGCAAAGAAATTTTCACAGATCGGTGCAGAGTTTAACATGCATTGCACTCTGCCTACATGCATGGTTTTGGAAGTTATGCAACATGTTTTTATAGAGTTGTGTGTTCTGGTGATCTAGGCTTGCTCAGTTATTGCTTAGAAATATAAGTGTATTAGAAAGCTATATATGATACAAAACTTAGGTCATGACAAACTACTATGTACCTCAAAATATAAAAATATTTATTTGCAGTGAGGTTCAAGTAAAAATGGCTTTCATCGTTATGTATACTGACTTTAAAACTACCGCGTAGAAAAGCCTTAAGTTGCTGTGACGTAGGGCCATAGACAGTCTGGTTGTGGAAAGAAGTTCCATGGAGATGATGCATATTTAGTTCAGAGAGAAGAAGACTGAAAACTAAGTGCCCATCGCAGAAGCAATTGCGATTGGTTATTTGCAAACTGCAGTTGTGGGGAGAGGGAGGGCTGTAGCAGGGCATATTGTCACCCTGGCACTGAGGGAGTGCCCTTCCTGACAAATGGCCGGTCGTTATTCCAAATTGCAGAGGTACTAGATTGTCATAGTGCAATTGCTCAAGCAATTTTTTTAAGATGAGCAAAACGCATCTTTTCTGATCTCGTTATTGGAAGAGACTGGACCTGTTTTTCAGAAACATTACACACTGAAAAATCAACCTGAGGCAGACACCTGGCATGAAAAAATTTTGCCTGAATGTGAATAGTTTGACAACATTTTAATAAGCAAATGAAAACAGTATGTAGTAATGGGAATTCAGCCGCAGTGATTGCTACCAGATCCACCAAGAATAACGGACTTGCATACCAACCCAGACTTACGACAAATATTGTGATTGTAGGTAACTAAATGACCATGGAATCTGGAGCAGAGAACCAGCAGAGTGGAGATGCAGCCGTTACAGAGGCAGAAACCCAACAGATGACAGTACAGGCACAGCCACAGATTGCAACGTTAGCCCAGGTATAAAATCATACGGTGTAATAGTTTTACCTATTGAATAATTTTTTTAAGAGGGATAATGTCTGCTCATGGGCCTAAGAGAAAGTTCCATTCATACAGTTCTGGAACAGGTGCAATGTATAGTTCCTTTAATATTTGTTTTTACATTTTTAAAGCAATAGAGATTTTTAACTTCCCATCACTCTAGGCTGTGGTTGTTCTGAAGAGCTGTATGTGTGTGAACTGTGTAATGTTAACAGAATAATTAATGAAAAGATTTCTAGCATTCTTTACCACAGCCATACCACTGAAGGGTATTTTTCCCAAAACATGTAATTTGCTGTCTTTTTTATATTGACAGGATTGGTTTGCTGTTATGTTTTCTGTTAGAAACTTGTCAATAGTAGTCAGTTTAATTCTGAAGAAAAAAACCTGAAAATATAGATAAATAATGCAGCAAATACAAGATCTTATCAGATGGGATTGATATTATAAACATTGCAATCAAGTGGAACAACCAAGCATTTGACAGCTTGTGTTATCCTGCTGTCTCCAGAATTTCACAGAATTTTGGCTGTTTAGAGTGACAGTACTAGCTCATTTATTGTCCCCAAATTTTTTGGAGAGACAGGAAATGCAATCCCAGCTCCATCTCTGATTTTGGAACCCAGTTTCATTCTTGGTTACATGGATGGTTGGCAGAAGCAAATCCATTGTGTAAATGAGTACAGAGTCTGTTCAGCTCCCTTCTGTAACGATTTCATTTTAAAACTATTTGCAGTCTGCAAAGAGCAAACAGGTTTTTTAGATCTTATAGTTTGGGGAATTGAGTGTCTTTTAAGTGGCACAAGTGTTAAATCACTTATTTTATAAATGATTAATATATTTTTAAAGACATTGCATGTTTACACAGTCATTACATAAACCAGAGATAGTACACTTCCATTCAAGTGATAGTATAGGGGTTGGAGCTGTTAAAATGCACAGAGTGATTTTGAGTGGAGCTGTAGTGTGAATTTACAGGACACCAGCTGCCCTGCACCAGCTTGCCTCTTTGGGCAGTTTTCTCACTGTCTAACTTAGGCACAGGATATAGGTGGTGTGAATAACACTTCAGTGTGAACTGAGTGGAAGTAGTTTGTTTCTCTTGAAAAAGCAGTAATCTGCTTCTCACTTGCTGTGCATTAAGATTTAGTCCAGAGAAGCAAGAGTGTTTCAAATCCATGTGCTAACATAGTAACCTCCAGGTAGCTGAACTTGCAGATGTCTAGTGGGTTGAATGTACTTTACTCGGGCAAAATTACCCCAGTACTTGAATGAGAATTTTTCCCGAGTGAAAAAAAGCTATGCAGCTTTTTGAACCAGCCGTGGTTGAAATCCATGTGAACCACAAAGAAATAAGTTACATTTTTCCTAATTTCCTCTGTTGCCCTTCACTGTATTATTTGCCCCTTAGCTTTTCCCCAGGCTTTATATTCCTTGTGGAGGTGATAAAACAGTCTAAAAGTAATTCCTTGTCTTGTTCACATCAGTATTATATTATTACAATATTTTTAATATGTGAAGTGTCAGCATTTGGCATTAGGGAGTGCCCTCAGAGGCTTAGACAAATCTAAATAACTAATTATATCCATTAATTCTTTTATTATCTCTTGTAAGGTCACCCCTCTTGTAAGCTTAGTTTAATTGCTGCATTTTTAGTGAGTTCAGGGTAGTTTTCAGAGTCAAAAGGAAACTCGTTCCAGTTCCACAAGGTATGAGTCAGAGACATCTGCGGAAGTTACACTCTGCTATTGGCTTAATCCGACCGCAGAATGGCCTCCAGTTGAACAGCTTTACTGTCATTGCCAAGGACTGTTTAGTCAGGCATGCATTATTAAAAAAGGCCGCTTCATAAAGGAATATAATTTGCCAGAGGAAAGTGTGCTCCTGTTAATCTCAGCCCCGGTTTCTCTTTTACGTGAGTTAAGTACCGCCATGTAATGCTGCAGCTGTTGTCCTGGAAAAGGAAGGTAAAGGCAAACACAAATTTGTGGATTAGTGAGAAACAGCTGTGGAGGAGAGATGTCTACATGTAATTCCCCTTAAATTTGTTGCTAAGCAAGATTTCCTTGTAAGTGGTGAATGTTTATAGAAATTCAGAGATCAGCTACTGCAGCTTTTTGAGAACCACGTGTTCATGGGGACAGCAGAGGATTTACTTCTGCATCCGGTACGCAGCAGCTCTTTGGGATTAGGCAGGACAACAGGGCTGCTCCTTCTTGCATTGTAGCTGCATGGATCGAATTTCTTGAAAATGCCACTGAACGCTGGAGGATTGTTAAATTTTCCACAATAGGGTGTCAAGGAGAAGGCTGGCTAGTCAGTGACCCACAACGTGTCTGTGGTGTGCGAGAGCTCACGCTTGCCTGCAGTCCTTCCCCAAGGGCTAGGATGGTGCAGGTCAGGCGCAAACCAAGGGCTGTGTGCTTGTACAGCAACCCTGGCACCCGCCTGCCTTTCAGGAGCCCCCCAGGCGTGAGCACGTGCATTGGATCACCGGATGGTTGCTGAGTATGGGATGCGCACTGGGGCATCTGCCCAGCCACATAGCAGTCGTGGTGCATGGCCCTTCAGCCGCCCGTAATCATTCTTGTGACCTGCCAGAGCGAGACTTCCCAGTGTGACGTGAGCAGCTTTGGTGGGTATCGCTGTCCTTGGGGCCTGAGCCCCTGCACAGGACGTGCGTGGCTGTGCACACCATGCTAATGTACCGTGCTGAAGGTGTTAGCATAGCTCCTGCGCACACAGGTCTGTGCTGGAGAAACAAAGTTGTGTTTAGGAACTGAGGTTTTAAAATGTGGGCAATTTTTCCTCATAGAAATAACTCCAAGACTAGAGTTTGTGTTGACCCGTTACACTGGATCACAATAACTACCTACAAACCATTTGTTTCCACTGCAAACCCATGGGTTTTCTGTCTGAACACATGGTCAGTTTTCTTCATTTGAATGGACTTTGCCAGCTACTCAATATGGTTTAGTCTCTAGAAAGTCTGAAAGGTATGACTCCCTAAACATTTTAACTTCTTACATCTGGCAAACACTTTGCATTTTCTTGAGTGAGAACAAAAATAGCTCCGCTCCCATATGTTTCTGCCTTTGACTCAGCAGTGTCTGTAGGAGTACACCCAGGTCCCAGCAATATCTAACTGAAGCAAGCAATTTCTCATTCTTGTCAGTGGTTTTACAAGCAATGTTTTGAGCCTGCAGAAATTCTGCATTAGATTAATTTGTTAAGTAGGTCAGATGTTGGGCTTAGGCAGTTCAGAGGGTTTTATATTACACGGAACATTTGGGTCATCTCGCTGGGGTCTAGAAGAGACACAATTCTTTCACCGAAAACTGTTCTTTATAGTGAAATAAGATTTTTGCAATAACCTAATTTATACTCACTGTCTCTTCTTTGCAGGTATCTATGCCAGCAGCTCACGCAACGTCTTCTGCGCCCACGGTGACCTTAGTTCAGCTGCCCAATGGGCAGACGGTTCAAGTGCATGGAGTAATTCAGGCAGCCCAGCCATCAGTTATTCAGTCTCCACAGGTCCAGACAGTTCAGGTACTGACTGAAGAAATTCCTAATAAGTAAATCGGGCCTTTTGAATAGTCCTGCAAATTCACTGGTTTCTAATGTGTTTGTCTCCTGGATTGTGTTTTTCTCAATATAGATGTTAAGACCATGTTGCAGGCAAAGTCTGTACAGTATTTGCTACTCTCTGACTTTTTTTCTGTTCTGGTTTAACCACTTTTCAAACATTGCTGAGTTTCATTTCCCTCTAGAATTTCCTTGGTGAATTTAACAGCTTCGTGTTTTTTCTTACACTATTTCTCTACTTTTTCTCTTTACTGTATTTCCATGTATCTAATATTCTGAAGTGAATAAAAGGGATTTTTTTAATACATAATCTTTAATCATTAATGAGGCTGATACTCTGGGATGAGTCTTTGCTACTTAGAAAATATTTGCATTTGGTTTACAAAACAGATGTCTGTATGTTAATGGTCCTTACGATAAACCTATCAGTCCTCTCATAAAAATGGTTTTGAAATTTGCCTGTTGAATGTTGTTTGCTTTGAAAAACCTTAGCATTTTCTCTTCTGTAAAGCAAGACAGATAATGCAGTATGATGAGATAGCTTGAAGACAGAGGAGACAAGTAGTCTGAAATCTTTAAAACCTGTAACTTTTTTTTTTTTTCCTGAACCACTTTAAGCCCAGTGTTACTGAATACAGAAAGAGAAATTGCTTGGCATACAGCAGTTACACAGGGCAAGGACTGTGCATCATTCCTTTGCTATTAGTTCACTGATATAATTTTTAAAAGTAGACATTGTGACTATTTGATACAAATATTTAGGTGGGTATTATTTTAAAAAATAATAAGGCATGCATAATTTAAAACTAGGCCATTCTGATAATAATCTTTGTTTACTCTTTGTCAGCTTTAGTGCTGAGTTTCTGGCAGGCTCTACCCTCCCCAGCCATTGGAGTCAAAAGTTTAGAGTTTTAATCTATCAGAGGTGAGCAGTTTTCAGATAAGTGTACAAGTTACTAGCCCAGGGGTGGAAGATAAGAGACTGACAGTGAAACCATGCTTGGAATTCACCTGGCTCAGTGCAAAGCCAGAACATGTTTGGAATGCTGCAGTATTCAAAGCCCAGTAGTTCACAGTCAGCATTGGACCTGTTCAGGCCCTCTATCTGATAACTGTGAGATCTGCGCACCAGCAAGCTTTCTGAGCCTTTAGGAATCTTCCCTACAGTGCATAAAATGTCAGGCTGTGAGCTACGTTTCTCACACAGACATCTCTCTGTTCACTGACTGTCTTGTATATTTGTCATGTGACTATAGTCTCTTGGAAAACAGTCTCTGTTTTTATGTATTGGAGATGTTTTTTAGATTTTTGGCACACTTTGAATTTAAAATTATTGAAATATGATTGATACAAATATTTTAGCTTACCTTCATAGATCTTTGTCCTTTTTTAGCACAGATGTTCAGAATTGCAGCACTGTGTTATTTTTTAGCATCTTTGTGTACATTTTCCTGATAATTTGCCCCCTGCAAAAGGCAGTTTTCTATAACATATCTACTCAATTATTTATAAATTTGTGTTTCTCAACTTCAGTACTTTGCTCTTTGTTTCCAAACATTTTTGCTATTGTAACTTGGTTTTAGTTATTCTCTTACTAAACTTTTACTTAAAGTCTTTGTTTCTTTAAAATGGAGGGAACGAGGAATCATAGAAAGCAAAAAGTGCATGGAATTACTGTTTAGATTTTTTTATTGGAGTATTTAAATTATAAAGGAAGTTCTCATGGGTAGATAACTGACTATGGTCATTCTTCACTGGATCTGTTACTAAACAGCCTGCCCTTTCTGTTCATTGGTGAGGTAGAAGCACTGTAAAATACTTGCATTGTAGTGTTTTTCCCAGGATGTCAACATTTCCTTAAAATAAAGAGATTGGAATTGTCTTGCTAAGTTTGATTGCTGTTCTTATTTACAGATCTCCACTATAGCAGAAAGTGAAGATTCACAGGAGTCAGTAGACAGTGTTACAGACTCACAGAAACGAAGAGAAATTCTTTCCAGACGACCCTCCTACAGGTATGGAGGTTGAAAGCAGAAGCATTTTGCTTGATGGATGCGTTTTTCACATGAGGAGGCAGTGTGATTGTATAATTATTTTTAGATTTATTATTTAACTGAAATCTTCATTCTGCAATGTATTTCCATGGAATGGGATGTAAAGAGATAAGCAAATAGGAGGAGGAGGAAGAAATCTCAGTTGTTACACTCAGTTAAGACAGAAATTAGCTGAGAATAATGTAATTGCCAAATTTGTGAAACATTGAGGTATCATTGTGCTAGGTGCCTTAGAAATAGCTTTAATGGATACTTTATACATTAAATACACTGAAGCTTTGCAAGAAAGTGGTTTCTCTATAATCTGTAGTCTGCAAAAAATCAACTCCATTGTTTTTCATTATTGTTGAAATGCTAGCAGCAATCAAACTTAATTCCCTTCTCCCTTGAGATTTTAAATGAACATGTGGTGTTCTGTGGCTCAAAGAGAATTTCTGCTTGAGCAAAATTGGTTGGTTTTAAAGTTTAAGAGGTCAGGGTATGAGTTGAATGTAGTGATAGGCATCTAGTATCTTTAGTTGTCATGGCAAGTACTTATGCGGTAAGACCAACTGAGGTGCTCCTTCACATGGTGTTAGTCATATGTTACTTTATTAATAAAGCCTTTGCACAGCTTTTTCTGGCTGTACTAAATCTCACTTTTCATTCTTAAGCATGCTAAATACAATTAAGGAACAGCTCTGGAGTACAGCATGTTTTAAGTGACCTGTGGATTCCTGCT